TTGAAAAATTGGTATATGCAGATAACGCGCTGCTTGACAACGAGCAACAGGTTGAGTTAGAGCGAGCCCGGCGCCGTTAGAACTTGACTTCAGGTATACGCTTGAGGTTGAGAATATAACCTGTCGTGATCTTTTGTTGCGAAGGTGAGCATGCTTGAACTTGAATGGACCCGGGCCGTTGAACTGGCTGAATGCGACGAGCTTGAGATGGTATGAGCACGCTGAAATTCGACTTTGAAGGGGCACGAAGTGGATTTAAGACGTGGCATCCTTAGACCGATAGGATTTGACGAGTGTAAGAGAGAACACCGGTGGCGCCCGGACCCCGCTTGAACAGAAACAACCATGCGAGTTAAAGGCTGATGTGGTACAGTCAGTTACGCGCAGAGACAGTGTTGTGTATATACCCTAACCTCAGGCGTACGTCGGCCGGAATGGTGTCCTACATGGCGGGAAGTCAGTAGACCGGCAAGAACAAATGCGGACTACGCACCAATTTCCGTTCACTTTCGATCCAGCGCCAACACCCAATGCGATGCTGGCAGTGGGGCCCGTGCGGCTGTCAAATCTCACGAGCGACCTGGAGTCGAGAAGTATAGCTTGTAGGTGACGGCGGAGAACTTCGACTGGGAGAGACTCAGAGAGATAGGAGGGAAGGAGAAGGGTGAAGCTGGTGGTGGAAGGAGAAAGAAAGACTTCACTCGAAGCGATGCATGGACAAATATTTGTAGCTGGTTCGTTTACATCACGTGGCATTGCTTCCTTCCGGTTTCCTCCGAGTCCGAGACCTTTGCTGTCGCTGAGCTCTCTGCCAGTCTCTGCCCTTCTCGACGCGACGCCCCAAAAACCCGGCTGTGCACTGGGCTTTCGCGCTCAGCCTCGTGCCACCTACTCTGAACCCACCCACAAAGTACAAACCTGCGACGCCGTCGAATCCACACACCAGTCTACCTTCGCCTACCATTGCAAAGAACGAAGACGACGTTAAGACGTCATCAGGATGGCTCGGAGACAAAGGGCCGGAGGCATGGGTTACCACTTTGCACAGTGAGTCCACCTTCCTCTTGTTCCATCCACCCGACCAATGCCGGCCCTCATGCGCCCACTACTCGGCATCGCTGGCGATCTCCACATTGAGCTCGATTTGGATGTCGAGCCACCCATGCTGCACACCCTTCGCGAGTGTGAGTTCACGCTTCGTACAGTGTGTGCAGCTGCGGCGGCTGCTCGACATTCACAAACGAGTGTCACGCTTCGTGCAATGCGTGCAGCTTGTACTTTGTGCAGCGCCAACATGCACCAGACTTGAACTTGACGTACACCCATCGACGACTGAACGGCAATTTCACGGAACTGAGGAAAACTGTTGAGTTCAAAGCAACTGCATGCAATATCTGCCATAAATTACCTGTGTGGTCAGGCGTCCTCGCGTGCTTAGTAGCATACATCAACGACATTGCAGATGTTGGAGAAACGCAAAAAGTCAGGCACACAACTTCAAATTTGAATGGGTCATCCCGAGGCGACACAGAGGTGGTTAAATTAAGCATATGCGTCCCAAATCTTTTGAAACCTCTGTCGTGCTACAGCGGGCTCCCACTACTACCCAGCACTACAAGACACTACAAAAATTTATTAGTCCTACATAGCACTACGAGAAATTCGCCTCCACTACCTAGTACTACATGGAGCTACGAGTGCTACGAGCACTACGAAAATTACATCAGCAGCTACGAAGTTCTACGAGCAAAAACCGGTTTTGCTGATGCAGTTGTGGATGATTGGTGGCCCAGAAAACATTGGGAAGCATCGGATCACGTCCCGGAGGAAACATGACCGCTTCTAAATCAAGCTCAAGTGCACAGGAATCAGCAGATGGACGAGGAACGAGTTTTGGGAGGTCCATAGTGGTGACAGAGAGAGGCAAAGGTCAATCACTTCTGCCAACAAAGCCACCGGGCGCATTTTTTCAGTGCGTGTGAGTGCAGCCAACACATCCACGCCGAGGAGATCATTCATTCGGAGCAGCCGCAGCCTACGCGCCCCCGCCCCTGCTGCGCCCCGCGCTCTTCGCGCGCGCGGGGGGGAGGGTGGGCGCTGTTTTTGGGGTGGCGCTGTTGCAGTTTGCGGCGTTTATGGTGTGGAATTTTTGGGTGCAGGTGGGTTGTTGACTTCTTTCATTGGGACTCGATACCTGTCTGCCCGATTTCTTTTCTTCTTTTTCGCAAACAGAGCCAAATTCGAGTCCGAACCAACGAACGAACGAACGAATACTCCGAACGAACGAATACTCCGGCAGGGACTCGAGTCCGAATTGTCGGAGACCAGACCGAGTCGCTCGCTTCATCTCATTTATCTGACTCTTCTCCTTTTTCAGCGAACTCGTTTATTTTTGGCTCGTTTTTCAGTTTCCTCGCTCATTTTATCCTGTAAAAAGCGACGCTGACGTTTCGCACACAGCTCTACTACCAAGTCTACATCGGCTACTCGCCCGTGCGCACGGTCGTGCGGCTCACGCCTATGTTCGTCACGGGGCTCGTGTGCAACGTCGTCGTTGCGCTCATTGTGGGGCGGGTAAGGGCTGGGTGGTTGTTGGGTGCGTTGGGTTTCGTTTTGAGAATTGCATCGCTAATCATCGGCATTTTAAAATCCATTTCCTTATTCCGTTCGTTCAACCACTATCAATTAATCGACATCGACCTTGAATCGTGCACAATGCCATCTGCCTTTCTGAATCAACCAACTCGTCGTCAATCGCTCTCACTCGCATTCTCCATTCGCCGCATTCGCATATTCGCACCCCCAGCCGCCGGCACCCTCACCACCACCCTCGCGCCGCTTCTCTTCGCGCTCATCCGCCCCTCCGCGGTGTACTGGGCCTTCGGCTTCCCCGCGGCGGTGTGCAGCGTCGTCGGCGCGGACTTTCTGTTCGCGGCGGGGATGCTGTTCGTCGCCAATGCGGTGGGGGAGGGGGAGCAGAGTCTGGCGGGGGGTGTGTTTCAGACTATGACGCAGGTGGGTTTTTGTGTTGCTTATTCCACTTGCCTCCTTCATCCTGCCCAATTTTTGCATTCTTCTTCTTCACTTGCTGCGACATCTGCGCAAGACGAAGATTTCCTTTCGCGTGGCGGAGTTTTGTGAGAGGCAGAGTATATGAGTACTAACGGTCACCTTTTTTCTTTTGCACCACACAGCTCGGAACGACCTTCGGCGTCACGGCGTCGACGATCGTGTTCAACCACGTGAAGCAGGACGCGGTGCGCACGGGCGCGGACCCGCTGGGGTCGTACCATGCGGCGATGTGGACGGGGGTTGCGTTTGGGGGGTTGGGTGAGTGTTTCTATTTCTTCTTGCTTTCACTACCCCTCTCTTCCCTTCTCTCCGTTCTATTCCTTTCCACACACTAGTTCATCGCATTCCTAATTTTTTCACCTCATTTTCAACTCCGTTGTCCGCTTACATACTAATCCGCGCACCCCCAGCGACGCTACTCGCGCTCGTCACCTTCCGCGGCGCCGGGACGATCGGGAAGGACGACGTCCCTCCTCCGTCTGGTGCTCGGGACCACGAATCGGCGCCAGGACATGCAGATTCTGTTGAGGGACGTGCGGATCTCCCCGGCGCTGCTGTTGGGATTGGATCGACGGTCAGTCGAGCGGGGGTACAACGCTAAGTCAAAGTGAAATCCGGCGTCGGCATTCCCCGCTCCGCGCGACGAGCGTCACGTAGCGCCGCCGTTCGCTTCGCTTCGCGTGGTCCTTCCCGACTTCGAATTCGGTTGGCGCAGGGCTTCGTTCGACGTTCGACGTCGCGCAGTGGATTGGGTATCAGGTTCTACGGCGTCTGACTCCGACTCTGCGATGATTGGCCATGGCGTTGGGGTTGTCGGGGAATGGAAGCCGCGAGTTGGGGGGACGTGCAGCGCTGCATTTGAAAGCCCACGCGGTGACGAGTGCGGAGTACAGACGGCAGCTGGTGGCTGGCAGTACGGACGGGTGGTTGTCCGAAAAGCGGCATGACGGCCGACTCCGGAGGGACAGAGAGCGAGCGAGGCGTAGGTGCGGCGGGACGAGAGAAGTGAGGCGGCGGAACGCATGCGGGAGGGGGTAAGCACGCACCTTGCATTATACCGCGAGTAGCGCTACCTACAAATTTGCGTCGTGTCCGCCGTCGACATGCGCCATGGACTTGCGCCTGTATGCGCATGAGTGGATTGAACGGGGAGGTAACGACTGCGTACCGACTGGGTACCTCGACCCGACCAAATCCCTCTAGTACCGGATCGCCGCCGTAAGTATGCAGGCGGTGTGCGTAGTCGCAAGTCGGACATTGCTTATCATGCCCTTGTGCGTGAGGGAGTGTTGTCGGCGGTGGGACCGGGCGTGGTGTAGCACCGCAAGCGACAGACGCACGGCGGACGCCGGATTGTTCGGCGGGTGCGACGGGGATTGGATGTACAGATGGTGAGGCCCGGAGTCTAGCCAACGGAGAGCATCGGGGCGGGGTACTTGTGAGTGAGCGGAGCAAGGTTAGAGGCGTCCAAGGGACTCGCTGAACATCAGTGATACCGGGCAAGAGGGTGGGAGGTGACCGGTGAGCGCTGAGCGCTGAGCGACAACACAGGCCTCCGCATCAGTGTCTTCGAAAGGATGCTGTGAAATTGCTTTGAAACAAAAAGTAGCGAGATGGCGGGGCAACGTGGCATGCTGACGTCACAAAGTTTACCCACGGTCTAAGCGACATATTTCTGTTGATCGCCGCAACATCGCCGCTGGATCCAGAGCCGATTCAGTCGAAACCTTTGGTGGGTATCGAAGCGATCGCGTCCGGCGTTTTCATATATAGTGACACCGGAATATATATACCCTCATGAATGTTTCTGGGCTTGATAATTTGTTGCCACCAAATAATTCAACTTGAACGAAGACTTGAACCCGCTCGTTTGTTTTGATCAGATTGATCTCACTGCGATTTAACGAGCGTGGGCCAGGATAACATACTCGGACGTGGTGTATGGAGCACTGCGATTTCCAGTGAGCGGTGGTAATACTTACTACTTATATGTATCTCGCAAGTCGCCGGGGTTCGATTCCCCGCGTCCGAATCATCTCAATCAAATCCACTCTTTTTCGCTGAATTCTCCAAACGCAAAGTGAGCTCAACTGAAGATAATGCAGATGATTCACTTGCTTACCAAACAAATCCAGCCTGCCTTGAGTCTCAGCATCCGACCGGTAGTCAGCTCGGAGTTCAGGTCCCCTCGGCCTACTTTCCCGAAAAATCCACCTTCACAACGGCGATGCTCCCTCTCTTTTGATTATCTCCAAGTCAGGAGAGGAACGTACCGGATACAGAGATGTGGTGTATGGAACACCGCGAGGCCGCCTAGGTATTCCTCAGTGAAGGATTTCTCTCTCGCTGTCTGGGGTTCGATTCCCCGCGTCCGAATAAGTGGTTTTGACGTACCTTTTTTTTCTGTCTTTTTTCGTGTCTTCGTCACAAAGGCCCGCCTTGAATGTCGACATCAGGAAGACATTCGGCGCAGATAATAATACATGACATTCCTGGTCTGCTCTGTATAAATTCGGCGTTGAACAGTCGGACAGTCTGACCCGCGAGGAAAGAAAAGAGAGAAAGAAAAAATGCAGACCGCATTCGGACACGGGGAGTCGAACCCCGATTACCCAGCGACTGTCGGAGGGTCTGCCCGGCTACGTAGTATCCTGGGGGCGTTCACTATGCCACGTCCGACTACGCAATCTGTATGGTACCTGCATAACCGGGCTCATCCAACAGGGTTTGAGTCCTCATATTAGTGTATTAATTCGAATATCGAATTCTGGCTAACACGACTCTGGAATACCACTCACGGTTGAAGGGCCAATATTTGAGTTGTGATAGAAAGAAAAACTTATGTTATGTTTCACGGATTCGGACGTGGGGAATCGAACCCCGATCTTCCGGCTACACTCGTCTCAAAGTCGCCTATAGGAGCTGGCTGTGTTCCATACACCAAATCCGATTTCTTAGTTTGTTATCTCCTTTTCAAAGCTCTGTGTTTCAATGTGATGGGTGAGGCTGTCCTTGGACGGAAGTAACTAGATTGAGGGATGTGGTTCAAGTCGCGGACCCTTCCGAATTTGAACAACCGTCGCGATACAAAGCAGGAATCTTCTAATGATTCAACGCAATAAACCCAGTTACGCATTGGTGTGCATCGTATATAAAATGACCTAGTTTATTTCAGTTAGGTGCGTCAGCATGGCTACAATGACCAAGGTTGAATATTGTCGTCTAAATTTTGGAATCAGGTCATTGACGCATGGATTAAGGAAATGAAAAACGTACATCAATTGGCACGCGCAATCAAAAACACGAGCTCACTTCGACGCCGCAACTCGTCGATTCACGCTGTAACATAGGGGTCCAATTCCTGGCGATGGATATATAGCCAATGGAGGGTGTGCTCAAAGATACGTCCGGTTTCGGTTCGTGAGGTGAGGAAATTTAAATAGATGATACAGTTGGATAGCTCACAATGCATAGGGCCGGTGGACCCCCAAACCTTATGCATTGTGAGCAGTATGCATTGCGAGATTTTGTCACACACTGTGACACCGTGACAGAACCGTTACTTTTCCAAGAAAAATATTTATTCACCCACCGTTCGTGTAATGATGTAGTAGATTTTGCGCCTCAAGCCTCCGCCAGTGTTATCTGCTTCGCTTGATTCAAGGGCTGATGGCAAACATCACGTCGCCCCAGCATCAGAATGCATGATCGCGTTCGAAATCAAGTTTTAAGGGAGCAACTAACTCAAATGTACCCATAAATATGCTGTTTCACGCCCGATTTCCTCGGAAGAAATGCATAAAAATTGTCAGAAAGTCTATGCATATGCATTATGAGTAAAATTCATAAAATCTCCGCCTACCAAGTTGGTGGACGGCCAAACCCTATGCAAAGTGAGCTTTATGCACTGTGACCTAATGCATTGTGAGCTATCCAACTGTATCGTTGAATTCGAGCATTGATTCAATGGTGAACACACGGAGCCTGGGAACGACATCGGAGGAGTCAGAATCGGGGATTCGAGTGAGTCGTTGAAGGAGGGAGTCGGTAATGAGATGTAGGTTTTCCGCGTCCCTGCCCCGATTGACATGGTCTGCGATCCCGAGACGCTCCAGCGACGAGAGACCGGCTAAACACTCGAAAAGCTCTGTCTGTGTGATGGAAACATGTCGCAGGTCGAGGGAGTGAAGGTGCGCGTCAAAGGAGGAGCGTGAAACGCGGTCACATGTCCTGAGGTTTGAAGAAGACTAGAACGTGTTTCTCGATCTCAAAAGTCTTAAGTCGCGGCATTCGCTCACATGTTAACCTGTCTTTGTTACTCTGCGAAGTTACCCCGTTTTGAATGCAACAGTGACCATGCCGGACGAATAAACCAACCGAAGCATCGCGAAATCCGAAAGCGGCATTATTTGAGAGTGATGAGAATTTGCGAGCAATGAGTGGTTCTTCTTTTTTACCAGGTGTGAACTACACATAATCTGGCATGGCTATTTCGGTGGGAGGTTGGAAATAGAATGACCCGAAGCGAAGTTCACACCCGACACTCATAGTATTCAATCTGTGGAAGTACTTGGGCATCCCTTGTTTGACTCAAGGACAGGTCGTAACTGTGTACACTGGTTTTTTCTTCTTCCTTCTTTTTGTCCTTGGTTCATACAGATTTTCCCCCATTTTTCCTTGGTTATTGAGGGATGCAGTGCGAAAGAAAGGACCTGGAGCAGTGTGGTTCACATCCACCTCTTATATGGAAATTGAGCCGAGTGATTGGGCAGGCCTTGTTCAATTCAAGGCCAGGTCATCACTGAGGTCGCAATGCATTTTTTTCTCTTGCTTTGCATGGTGTTCCATGGTAATTTGAGACATGCTACAGTGGGCTCAATTATGTCGACTAAGATGTTTATTTGGTGTAAAGACTCCACCGCGGTTAATGCACCCTCCTTCCTAATGCCAGGTAAAACTGGTGAGTTTGGCTTTCTGTGACCCCCAAGACCTGTGTAAACTGCAGCAATTTTCACGCGCTGATTGAGGGACATGAAGTATGAAAGGAACGACCTGGAGCAAAGTGGTTTGCACCCAATATATACTTAAGAATTTGGATCGGTTGCATTGGGCATTCCTTGTTCAACTCAAGGCCAAGTCATAGGAAAGCTAAGTAGTAATGGCCCTGATTTTTTCTTCCTGACTCAAAGAGTTCTTAAATTCAAAGTGGGAATTGTTTCCTCACAAGTTTCTGCCAGGCTCTCCTAATTTTCCTTGGTTATTGAGGTGGAAATGGAAAGACCTGGAGCACAGCGGCTCGCACCCAAGATTTGTCATGAAATAGTGCAAAAATTACATTGGGCACCCCTTGTTCGACTCAAGGCCATGTCATATACAAGAAGGCTAGTTCCTCTGTTTTTTTTCCCCCCGGAGTACTTGAATCCAATTTCAAAGTATGTTCAAAGTTCAATGTTCAACCTCCGGTTTTCAGAAGAAAAGCGAATCCCTGACGTTGCAATTTGCCTTCAGAACATTTTGCCGGGCTCCCCTAAATTTTGCTCACTTATTTGGGATGAGATCTAAGAAAATAAAGGACCTGGAGCGAAGTGGTTCGCACCCAACACTTGTGGTATCTAACCTGTGGAACTGCTTGGGCATCCCTTGTTCGACTCAAGGCTAGGTCGTTGTTTTCATTGCTGACATTTTTTTCTCTTTGAGTGTACGGGGGAAGGTGCAGATGTGTTATAGCGGGCAGGCTGATTTGTTTTTGACTCAGATCTAGATTTACAACTTCTGCTTCTAGGTAAACCCCGGCGTATCAATTTGAACTTCTAGAAGCACTCGTGTTGTCCAAAAGCTGTGTACTCCGTCGATTTTTCGGGTGGTTATTCAGGGAATCGAGTGGGAAAGGCAAGACCTGGAGCGAAGTGGTTCACACCCACCTCTTATACGGAGAGTCGTAAGGCATAATTGGGTATCCGTTGTTCAACTCAAGCCGGGTCATAAAATGTCCTAGTACTCTTTCCTCCCCCCCTCCCTCCTCCTTGCTTTTGTTTTCCTTCCTCATTCAAGAGCTCCTTCTTCATCTAGGAGTTTTCCAAGTTGCGATCCCGGGATTGACAACACCTGTGAAGGATCTGGATCCAGGCCAATCTCCGTGCGACAACAAAAATTGAGATCTCGGAGGGCACGACATTTTCCTAGGTTGGTTGAATCCTTTTTTCCCTGCTCATCAAGGGGTAGGAAGTTAGAAGGAAAGACCTGGAGAGAAGTGGTTCGCACCCAACACTTATAGTGCCTTCCCACTCTAAGTACTTGGGCAAGCCTTGTTCGACTCAAGGCCAGGTCATTACTGCTTTCTGGATGGCTTTTTGATCCAACGGAACCAATCACTTTTTAAAATGAATCAATCTCAGATGAAGAGCCATTAGCCATTAACATAGCGTTGGGATCCCCTGATTTTTGCGAGGTTATTCAGGGAAGGGACCGTGAAAGGAAAGACCTGGAGCGAAGCGGTTCGTACCCAACATCCGTCATGAACAGAGAGAGGATACATTACATTGGGCATCCCTTGTTCGACTCAGGGCCAGGTCATTCACTGTCGCTGCAAAAAAAAAAAATCTTTCCTGCTTTGCATGGTGTTCTATGGTAATTTGAGACATGCTACAGCGGGCGGCTCAATTAGTTGTAGACTAAGATGTTGATTTGGTGTAAGTACTCCTGATATTAGTTTGCATGAATTGTGAATTTCATGCATCGGATCCCTGAATTTCGAACTGCGGTAATTTTCCCGTGGTTATTTAGGAGATGGGATATGCAATGCAAGACTTGGAGAGAAGTGGTTCGTACCCAATATCTCTTGCAGAATTTGGTCCAGTTGCAATGACATCCCTTGTTCGACTCAAGGCCAGGTCATTCGCTGTCTCTGCAAAGCATTTTTTTTCTTTCTTGTTTTGCATGGCGTTCTATGGTAATTTGAGACATGCTACAGCGGCTGTCCCCAGCTTAGCTTCGCTCGAGCTACGGTCGATTCAGCGGCACATAGGCTCGAGC